TATATAAACAGAACCAGGAGCTGGGCTGCGTAGGGCAGCCATGGGGGGGGCTGGGAGAGCAGGCAGGGATTGGGGCTCATGGCAGAGCCCCCCACGCAGCATAGGACAGTGGGGAGCAGCAGGGATTGGCCTCCCCCGCCACCTGGCAGCAGCTGGTAAGTGGGGCTTTTTTCTTCTTTTTTTTTTTTCAGAACCCAGAGCTGGGTAGGGCAGCCATAGGGAGGCCTGGAAGAGCAGGCAGGGGTTGGGGGGTGCTCAGGGGGTTGAGGGAGCAGGCAGGGGATGGGGTCTGGCAGAGGTCTCCCCTGTGGTTCCCTCCCCACCCTCCTGTTCCCTACTTACTGGCACAGAGTCCGGATCCAGCTCCCTGTAGTAGTGAGCAGGGACTGCCGAATCTCTGAATCGATTCAGACCTTTTTATTGGTCTCCTGATTCAATCTGGATTCGGAGATTTGACCACTGAATCAGGCCGAATCTCATCTGGATTGAATCGGCACCCAAAGCTTTGCACAGCCCTAATGTGCATATGTGGTTTTCACTGAATTAAATGGAAGGTGCTTGTCAGTATTAGAAGCAGAAAACTGTTCAACACAGAAATCTTGCACTCTTGCATACATACCTATAGTGAGCAGCAAAAAAAACCTAACTAACAACTCCCTTCTGCCATGAATGGCTTTCACACATGTGGACTAACTGCTTCTTTTAATGCATTCCTGCATATCTGAGAGCTGTTTTGTAAGCCACAGAGTTGTGATTACAAGATACTACTATTTCAATGCTTATAGATTAATGAAAAATGCATCAAAAATAGTTTTTAAAATATGGTTACTTATGTTCTAGGAGACACAGTTAAACTGCTTTAAGAGGATGGATGGATGAGATGGATATTATTCTGGGAAAGTAAATACATTTACCAAAAAAGCTGACACTTGCTGCTTCAGCCTTTTCTGTTAAAAAGGAAAGAGTTTTCTGAACTTTACTTTCCTGTGCAAGCATTTTATTAGTGAGCAGATAAAACTGAAGAGATCTTATGCATATAATGTTGCAAGGGAGGCTTAATAAAATGAAATAGGGCTGTTGAGCTAGGACAAACCATTCTTATCTTCAAATAAGTACATTTTCAGATGCTTGTGTTTGCATACCAGAAATCTCAATTATTTCATGTATAAGCAATACTATGACATGTATACGTAGACAATGAAATATTTTAATTTAAATATGCCCCATACTATACAATCTTATAAAATACCAATTAAGAGTTTGTCTTAACATATTAATTGTTATTTCAAACAGAAACAGAGTGAGCCATACACCGCTTTGGTGCTAAGAGAACAAGGCATAGGTCAGGATACACAAGCTGGAGACAGACAGTGAGATAGGCAGTTACCATGTTGCAAACTATGTTTACAGTGATAGTCGCAAATGGCACAAACTGCAGCCATCCCATGTCATTCATAGCTCTGGATGTCTAATCTCCATCATGCTGGGTGTCAGTGTGCTAACATGGAAAAATCATGTCAAATGCATTACATTCCTTTATTACTGAAAATAAGTGATGCTTCTACAGGATTGCCAAGATGCAACAGCAGCAATCCCAAGCATCCATGCCTTATACTGGTAGGGCTGAGGAGGTAAAACAACACGCTACTGAAGTTAGGCCAATGGCTTTGTGTTGAACAAAGGGGATATATAAAGCATCTGCATCAAATTTTGCAATAATGCCTTGTGATACATGAGGAATCCTGAAAAGAGATGCTTGAGGCATCTGTTATAGGACTTTGATGTGTTTAGTTTGGGCAGCATGCCCAGCATTTAAACAGAAAAGGAGAAATATACCTAGCTGACCAATACTTATGTTTCAATGACTCAAAACACTGTGGACTCATGAATGTCTATACCAACACAGTATGTGAAGTTTTATTTCTAACGCAGCTAATTTACAGCCAGGTTGGGTGACATTCTGCATTGGCAAACCTCATATATTAAGCAGCATAACAGGGGGAGAGAACCTCTCAAGCTGGGAAAGAAGCACACCAAGTATCAGTGCTTGTGTGCATGTTGTCAGTCAAAGCAATGAGAATAAGGCCCTGCAACTACAGATTAATATGAAGTTTGAACACATTCCTGTTTCTTTGGTTACAGTAGAATTTTTGCATCTTGTTCAACACAATGGCAGGCCTGTAATTTAAAGTCTATACTGCACTATCCATCGGAATGACTATAAAAATTCATCAGTACACATATCACTGTGCTCTTCCCACTACTGTTATTTTACCCATGGATTCTAATACAGGGCAGCTAAGATGATATCGGCTACAAATGGCACAAAATTATCTTAATGTAACAGATACAAAGCACATTCTTAAGTTTGGTCCTACTCCTGCTGAAGCCAACAGAAATGTTCCTACTGATTCCAATGAGAAGAGGAGCAGGTTTTTTTTATTCTAAAAAAAAAAAAACCACCCAAAAAACATTGAATAGCTTGCCGCTCCTCTTCTTCTGAAAGGAGAAATGTTTCCTCGCCCTACAAGTAGTGGTTACTGTACTTTCAAAAATTATTAAAATCCATTTCAAGATTATAATCTTCATTTTAAAAGCAGATTGTAAGAAACAAAACTGGTGGGTCATGTTTTTTATTAGGAAAACATGTGAAAGCTTGTGCATCCTTCCCCACTGTCCTTTCTTGCCAAAGAGGACAGAATGGAAGTATGTCTGTTCCCACAGCTATAACCTGAATTGCAGATGCACGCATTTTTACTTTGCATTAAGCATTTCTAAATATCTGTTTGTTTTGGAAACAAAGCTAAAAGTGGATACAAACTTTCTAGACATACACAGCTTTAGAAAAAAATACAAGTGTTTAGCTAGTATAACAATCCCATCAGAAATTAATGGGGAAAGGCACTCCATCCCTCTCGAGCACACCATACATTTATCATCCATTTCATATCTGTCTTTTCAAATCACAGTTAAAAGCTTTATCTGTGACAGCTACCATGTACAGGTTCACATGACTGCATAACGGATTTCATATTTCTTCTCACTGCCATACTTCTCACTGACAAGGTACTTTTCTGTGAATATACAGTGTTAGATTTATTTACAAGTTAAAGAATATTCTCTCTTTTTTCAAAGGAGGGAGTCAACATTAATGACCCAGTATTACTCAAAATGGTATAAATTAAAGTTTAAATAATTAAAAAAATTGAGTTTAGTTTAACAATTTTCCTATTGCACATTTTTTCATAACTTCAGTAGACAAAGCCAACATAGGCATTTAATAGAGTAAAATTTAAAAAGCACAAATTATATTGCACCAAATTAAGGTGCCAAAAAAGCTGTATGCCAACTGGAAACTGAGTGCCAATAAAACAACAAATATACATACAGTAAGAGCCCTAGGATGCTGGGAGATAATAAATATCTTAGACAATTTCTCAGATTTCCCAAAATGTAAACTAAACTATTTAGAAAATAATGCAAAAGTTTGTTGATGGTCAGTTATACAGATGCACAAAATCTAACATAAGAAAAGTTTATAATTCTCACATCCTAATTTTTAAAACCATCTCAATATCACTATGCACTTCACACAATGTCTAAATCTATGAATTAGAAGACTCATAAGACATAACAAAGAAAGCTTCCCCCATCTGTTTTATAATGAAACAGCCCAGAGTACCTGAAACAACTGTTTCTTTAGAAGAAATATGACTTTCAGTTTAACAATTCTTTCTTAAACTTTTTTCTGCTTATCCTTCTGACCCAATGATCTGGGAAGGCCATTTTGCATCGCATACTATTAACCGATGTGCAGCATTAAAAACAAGGAGGAAACTTCCTGTGTTTGAGTAACAAGACATTGGAACTTCTCCTACTACTGCTGCCGCCACCACCAAAACAGTGACCTGACATTTTCACAATAAAATGTTTCCCTTGAATGTGTTTCTTTATAAACTATGAAAGCTGGAGTGTTTCAACTTAAATGAGCTGGAGTATATTCTGGCCTTCTTGTTTGAATAATTTTTGGTTTGGGTTTCTTTGCATCTTCTTCCTCCACATCATTTTCCTGGTCACTCTCACATACATGGACAACAACGCTGGGAGTTGTGTCAGTTGCAGCATGTAATTCATACTTTTCCCCTGAAAGTTAGAACATGGCAAAGCCGGTTAAAAGGCTCCATTTTACACAAGCATAATATGAATGATGGTTCAAAAACAGAAGAAAAACAAAACAGCTTGAAGAGACAGCAGGCTGCTGGTAGGCAGCATGAAAGTACAGTGTAGGATGTCAACTGGGAAGTCAAATGTTCAAGGATTGCAGCAGGTCTACCATTTAATTCTTTAGGTCTAGTTTCATGCAAAACTACTAAAGGGGCTCAAGGATGAGTGTGTTCTCCTGGCAAACAGCCTATTTACACAGCTGTGTTATTTAGATGACTTAGTCTTGATAATCAAAACTTTAAAGCAAGTCTTCAAAGAATGGAAAATGGCTAGCTTTTCTGAGCAAACTGCACTATAGCCATGAAATTAAATTTTTGCAAATCTGCAGAGTGAAATAAGTTTGTCATAGTTTTACTGACCTACACACAAAGGGCCAAACCCTGCCTAGAGATTCTTGTGTAACAAAGGACCAGAAAGGGCAGATTTTGTATAGATATATACACGTAAAATGCTTTGTACATGAACAGCATTTGTTTGCATCATGACTACTGGTTAGTGGGCTGGAGTCTATAAAAACCTTCTCTGCAATTTACTTTTCAAATACCTTTTATAAGAGAAGGATAGCTAGGAGAAAGAAAACAAGCAAACTGTGTTTTTCAATATGGTTCTTCTCTTGCTTGTTCTTCTGGTTTCACTTAATTTGGTTTGATCTCTTAAGATCACATTTTCTTAGGTCTTGCTCCCTTCCCATTACAAATGGAAAGCTGTAGAACTCTTTTAGAGAACCACAGACTGGGCCAGGCTGAAAGTGCCCTTTGTGTAGTTTTTCCTTATAAGTTTTAGGGAGAACAAGTATAAGTATTCTCCACAGAACACACAAGGGATTTTATCTCCAGCTCTGAAGATACAGGGAATCTGCTTCCTAGACCTTCTTCCATAATCCCTTGCATTTGCATTTATATGGCAAGTAACTTATGCTCTCCCTCTTTCACTAAACCTACTGCCTCTTTTTGACAGGAAAATTATTGTAAGCCTTAATGATGGCAACATTTACATAAATCTCTTGAAAGATTAAAAGATATGCAAAACAAGTTTATTACAAGGTATCTGGAATAGCAGCAACTTTGGTAAAAACACACCATAGCTGTATTTTATATTTTACAGTTGAAAAAAAAATGTAATAATTATAATTCTTATTTTTAAATTTTGGCATAAAATAAGTAGCTTTGTTAAAATATTCAGTTGGTCTGACAGTGAAAATGTATAGGGAAGTGTGCACTTAATGTGTGCCTCAGCAAGAATTTATTTTCACAAAGAAATTCCTAAGGGACTTTATTTTCCCCACCCTTTGATACAAAACATACTGATAGTTTAGGGGAAAATCTCTTATAAAACTTCAGAGTATGGCAGGAAGAATCTACTTTTGATGGCTTCAAAAGAGTTGCACGTAACGCTCATCATTTCAGATCACTTAATTCTGGAACATGCAGATGGTACAGCCCAGCATTTTTTATATAGCGTATTTACTGGCTACAATAAATTTGCAATAATTTTTTGTCCACTCAATTTGCATACCACCTATTAGCTATCTTTGCCATAGCTTTTAATAAATATTTTTAAAAACTGAATAACCTATCACAATTTTTTAATTCATCCTTAACATGATTTTGCCCCTTGAAGAATTGGAAAACAGGTGCACACCTACCCACAAGAAAGTGAACCTTGAAAGACTCTTAATATTTCTTACTAATGGCAGATACTATAAAGTCAAATTGTTCTGATTTAAGTAATTTTAGCTGTTTATAAAAATTTAGCCATTTCTCTCTCTCCTGACATGAAAGTAGTTCAGTCCTTTCAGAGATGAAGATTGCAGTAAATAAACTGTCTTGACCATAAATTCATTGTTCCAATGATAATTAAAACAAATTATTGAACCAAACTCTACACATTGCTCCTTTGTTTTAAATATCAAGTAGCTAAATTAGATTGAGGTAGGATGAGATGCATCTCCTTTAAAAAAAAGTCACTGGGTCTACATCTTCTTAAGCCAAAAAGAAAAGTGACCTCACTCTGCATAGTTTTGAGGACAGTATTGAGTACACTGCACTCAAACACAGTGTTTGAAACTCTTAAGTCAATCAGATTGACTTAATCAAAATATTTCTGTCGAGCTGAAAAAGGCTCAAGCACTGATCAACATAAAACATTATAATCATTCATGTCTAGTTTCAGTGGCCAGGAAATGCCAGAACAGACCTTGTGGGGGTAGCTCCTCTTTAAGAGCTGAAGTCGCTATTGCTAGAGTTTTTTTTCTCCTCTTTTATAGAGAATACTACCCAAAATTATTATTTCTACTTCACTGATGGCCCCATTAATTTAAAAATGAGGACAGTCTCTTCTTCCCCTACCCTCCTTTAAAAAGGTAGTCTGAGACTAGAAACTTAGGAGAGGTCTGAACCAACAATTAGGGAGCTATTGCAGACTAGAGAAAAGGAACAGCAGAGGCATTTCCCCCTGAATTCCAGGTGGTAAAGAAGAAAATGAATCCATCAAATCACAGGCTGAAACTGGTAATGTCCCTTCAACCTTCCCTCATTGCTGCAGAGGAAAGTGATTTAAGCCCAGCTTCAACTTTTGCTAGGTATGCAATTGGAGAAAGAGCTATCAAAATCCCAAGAAATCCCTAGAACAATCAAATATCCTAGCCAGAAGCTCCAGCAGGGACCATATGGGTGTACCACGCCGGAAACTCGGCGGGTGGGGGGGTAGAAGGAGCCCGGGGACAAACAGCCCCTCCCTGCTGCAGCCACTTGCAGCGCATGCGGGGATGTCCTGAGCAGGCACAGGTGGCCCCATGTGGGCTGTGAGCGGCTGCAGTGCAGGGCACCGGCCACAAGGTGGGCAAGGGGCTGCTTTTCCCATGCTCAGCATCAGCTTGTAACCCACCCTTGCAGCCAGCCTGGGCCCTGCACCAGCTCTGGGCTCCCAGTCAGGGTTGCTCTGGGCATTATTTACCACCACCACCTCTGGGCTGCCCAGCACGCGAGCTCTGGGTGGGCAGCAGCAGCAAACACTGCCTGGTGTGGCAAGCGGGGGGGGGAGGGGGGAAGGGAGCGACAGCTGCTGCCACTGTGGCGCAGCCCTGATAGGGAGCCTGGAGCCACCGTGGGGCCCAAAGCTGGCAGCAGGTTACAAGCT